GATTTGTTGCCTATGTATATATCAAAACGACCAAACCAAGATAACAGCACCCAAATTGAAATATTTGACATGGACCTGCTTCTCTTGTATGAGCCTGCAAAGCATCACTATGTACTTATGATCGATTTGTTAAAGTTCATCTGCGAAATCAAAGGGTGTAAGTATCGCCCAATTGCACGTTTATGTAGAAACTGCTTTCACATTAGTTGGAGTGATGAAACTCACGAGCAACACTTCCAGTGTTGTAAGGATCATGAACCTGCTCTAGTAGTCATGCCTTCAGCAGAAAAAGGTACCAACAGATACGAGTTCAAAAACCTCCAGGCCTAGTGGTTTGTACCACTTGTGATTTATTTTGATTTTGAATCATTTCTGAAACCTGTAGATTCTTGTCCTGATAATCCATCGCGATCATCTACCCGAGTTGTACAAAAACACGAAGCTTGTGGGTATTCATTGGCTGTAATTGAACACGGAAATTCACAGCCCTACTTCTTTGACTATGACAGCTCTGATCAATGCATGAAAAAGTTTCTCAATCAGTTGCATCAATTAGCGAGAGAGATATATGATCAAAAGCGACGGTTTCCTCAATTTCTAGAAAGCCAAGAATCGTTGAACAAAGAAAACACATCAACATGTTGGATTTGCTGTATACATTTTACCAATGAGCACGAAAAATGTCTTGACCATTGCCATTTTTCTGGGATGGGGACATGAAAAATGCAACCTCGCAAGACGAACTGTAAATTTCACCCCAGTCATTGGACATAACATCCAGAACTATGACCTTCACCACATTTGTCTCGCATTGCATGAATGCGAGCCAACAAGTACAATGAGTGTTATACCTAGCACCGACGAAAAATATATATCGTTAAGCATCGGAGTCCTAATTAAAACTATAAAAAGGAAAAACGGATCTGAGCAAAAAGTTGAATACCTCAGATTTATTGACTCATGCAAGTTTTTGAATTCTTCCCTGCAAAAATTGGTTGATAATCTACCAGCGGAAAAAATGTCAATTTTGAACAAGTATTTTGCAAACGAGACGGAGGAGCAACGGTGTCTGATACGACAAAAAGGTTTCTACCCTTATTCGTACATGACCAGAAGAGAAAAATTTGCACAAAAAGAATTGCCTCCTTTGCAAAATTGGTCCGATGTTTTGAATGGAGGAAAAGTTGCAGTTTCACAAGCGGATCTGGAACATGCAAGGAAAGTTTTTAGAGTGTTCAAATGTCAAAACTGGGAGGATTATCACAACTTGTATCTCAAGTGTGATACACTCCTTCTTGCTTGCGTCTTTGAAGAATTTCGACAAATTAGTCACCAAACTTATGGTCTGGACTGCGCGCACTATTTTAGTGCTTCAAACTTAGCTGGAGACGGCTTCAAACGTATCTGCAAAGACTCGAATGTTCAGCTTTTATCAGACCGCAGGCATCCCGAAATGGTCGAGAATATGATGCGAGGTGGTACTGCATCCGTGTTCCATAGTCGCTTTTTCAAAGCCAACAACAAAGAATGCCCCGACTTCAACCCAGATCAACCTAGCACCTGCGGGTTTATGATCGATGCAAATAACCTCTATGGCGGCGTCATGCAAACGGAGAAATTACCGGTGCGTAACTTTGAGCTAATAGAGCATATAGAAGACGAGGTGATTGTGAACCAAATCCTCAACATGACTGAAGACTCTTTGATTGGATTTATATTGGAAGTTGATCTCGAGTATTCAGAAGAACTGCATGAGGATCATCAAGATTACCCTTTAGCTCCTACTAAAGAAAGTGTACCCCAGGATTGGTTGAGTCCCTACCAAACAAATTTACTCGAGCAGATGAAAAATCAAGACATTGCAAGACGTTCAATTGGAAAGACCAAAAAGTTACTGCAGACGCTGCATGACAAGTCAAACTATACAATTCATTACAAACTATTGCAATTGTTTGTTAGGTTGGGACTTAAAGTTAAAAAAGTGCACCGTGTGCTGAAGTTTGAACAAGAAGCATGGTTAGAACCATACATCACACTGAACACGACTAAACGACAACAAGCTAGAAATAAATTTGAGGAGGATTTGTACAAACTACTGAACAATTGTGCTTATGGGAAAACATGCGAGTCGAAGCGCAAACGGATGCTTGTTCGGATAGTTAGAGATTATCATGCCGCTTTGCGAGAAATTAGTGCATTCGAATTTAAATCCTACAAAATTTTTTGAGAAAACTTGGCAGCGTTCACTTCGAATCCAACAAAAATCTATTGGGATGTCCCAAAAATTGTGGGAGCTAGTGTTCTTGAGTTAGCAAAGTTTCACATGTATAAATTTCATTACGATATAATGAAACCAAATTTTGAATGTCAACTATTGTATTCTGATACAGACAGTCTCCTGTACCAAGTCAAAAGTGAAGATTTATACCGAGAAATTTCCGAAAAAAGGAAAATTTTGAATGAACTTGACTTGTCAAATTACCCGAAGAACCACCCTCTCTACGACCCGAAAAACAAAATGGTTGTTTTAAAATTCAAGGATGAGTTTCCAGGAGACATTATAACCGAGTTTATATCCCTCAAACCCAAGCTTTATTCCATTTTGTCCAGAGGTAATTAATTTCTATTTGCCTTATTTGTGAGCACGAATTTCAAAAAATTTTGATTTTTTGTGATTTTTTTTTCGGAAGGCAATTTTTATTTGTGGGCGAAAAAATGTAATTTTATCAATAAAAAAAAGAAATTTGGAAAAAACTTTTTAGGCGAAAAAGTATAATTTTTTTTGAAATTTTTTTTTTGTGGGCGGTTTTTTTTTTGTGAGCGAAATTTTTTTTTTTTTTGGAAAAAAAATTTTTTTTGTTCGAAAAAAAATTTCGGGCGAAAAAGTGTTTTTTGTTTTGAAAAAAAATTGGAAAAAACTTTTTAGGCAAAAAAAAAAATTTTCAAAAAAATTTTTTTTTTTGCCTAAAAAGTTTTTTCCAATTTTTTTTCAAAACAAAAAACACTTTTTCGCCCGAAATTTTTTTTCGAACAAAAAAAATTTTTTTTCCAAAAAAAAAAAAAAATTTCGCTCACAAAAAAAACCGCCCACAAAAAAAAAAATTTCAAAAAAAATTATACTTTTTCGCCTAAAAAGTTTTTTCCAAATTTCTTTTTTTTTTATTGATAAAATTACATTTTTTCGCCCACAAATAAAAATTGCCTTCCGAAAAAAAAAATCACAAAAAATCAAAATTTTTGGTTTTTTTTTTTGAAAAAAATTTTTTTGTCGGCAAAAAATTTTTTTTTTTAAATTTTTTTGTCGGGGATTTTTCTTTTTTGTGTTGGATGATTGTTTTTTTTTTCTAATGATGACTATTTTTTAAGGTCACACCTGGCCTTCATGTATTTTTTTTTGTTGCACCTGGCCTTCAAGTTAACATGATGTAGCTCTTAAAAAAAACATCGTATTTGGTTTTTTTACCACCACACATTAGTGATCATCAAAAAATTGATTAGTAATCATATAAATAAAATTTTAGACTGCAGAAAAATATCGGCGAAAGGTGTATCCAAAGCTGCTCAGAAGATGTTGAGTCATCAGCGTTATCGAGACACCTTGACCTCTGGCTCGTTATTCAAAACTGAAAACAGTCGAATCGCATCCGAGTCACATAATCTGCAAACAGTGACTTCGACGAAAACATCGTTATAAGCTTTTGATGACAAACGCTACATCCTCGATGATGGTCAGCAGACTCTTCCCTACGGTCACAAAAACATCGTGGGTCAAACTGTGATTGGCATTGATGATAGTGATGACAACACAGCCGCTGTTAATTCTGACCCAACTGACGATGACGATTTGGAAAAATGGATGCCATTTTTTGAAGATCGTCAACAGCCAGTGTCGTGGGATTGTGACGATTTCCTAGATGGGGTGTCTGAAGAATTCGCTAACACTCAAAACGTTGATTGGGACCATCCGGAAATTGATGATGAATACTCTGAGGATAGTTTTGCTGTTGAGAACACACAACCACATCGCTCGCTTCGACAACTGATGGACCAGGTCAATAGCAGTTGGCAAACTCCAGACCCCGGTCTGATTCGGGCAGCAGAAACCAACGACAGTGATATTGATAGCGGGGATATCGCGGATCTGGAGGCCAATACTTCCGATGAGGACGAGTCGTCATTCTTCAATGATTCGTTTTTCGATTATGAAGCAGTTGAAGTAGAAGAACCACGGTCAAAAAATCGACGAATAGATTAAAACACAAAAAAACTCCACATTAACTTTTGTGTAGTAAATAAAATTCAGTTATTTAATATGAGAATTGTCTGTACATAAAATTTGACCTACCGCTATTCCGTGTTTAGTGTGTATTTAAGTGCGAGATTTTGTTCAGCTTTGGAACTTAATTAATCTGGGATATAAACAATTTCATTTAAGCGATAGTGTCTTTAGCATACTTTTGTATGTATTTGTATGTAATTTGAGTTTGAATCAAAGTTTTAAGAAGAATTGAGCAAACAGTCTATAGCGCAGTTAAACACTCCAGCTGGTTTCAGAACGAAGATTTGGCAAATCCTTTCCCGCACCAAACATGTAACCACAACGTTCAGTGGGAATACTCAATAATAAACCGAAGTTTTACATGAGGACTATTAGGTATAAAATTATACATGGTGACAATTAAGATTATTACACGGTGACCATTGCTGATCATTTAATACATGGTGACCATTATGATTTATACCTAATGGTCATCCATGTATGACAACCCAGCCCCCCCGATCCTAACGCACTATATGCATACTACTCCTATGTTTCGACCTTCTTGACCGAAGTGTGTTTCGAACTGACCTATGTTTCTTGACCTATGTCTCGACCTTCTTGGCCGAAGTATGTTTGAATTTGACCTATGTTTCGACCTTCTTGACCGAAAAATGTTTCGGGTATATTTCGACTTGACCTATGTTTCTTGACCTTTGTTTCGACTTGACCTATGTTTCTTGACCTATAATTCGACCTTCTTGGCTGAAGTATGTTTCGACTTTACCTATGTTTCGTCCTTCTTGACCGAAGTATGTTCCGGGTATGTTTGTGCTGGACTTAAAACTGCCTTTCGACCGTGGAATTTCAGTCGCAAAACTGTACTTTCTCGACTTTCAAAGTCGAAACATATCTCGAGCACTTCCACCCGGGTAATTAACGCACGATTACAAAAGCTTTTCAAGAAAGCGAAACTGTTTAAAGTTTGAATCAAATTTGTTTGCTAGCTTCATGGGCGTGTCGTCATCTAACCCAAATACTCTGGGCGGACACCAAGTACATAGGGTGTGCACAGGAGAAGTGTGTGAACACTTGGAAGAAGAGGGGCAGGACACGCACTTGGACTAACTTTGTCTGCCACTACAACATAGCCGGCAACTGGTGGGGAGAGACGCCATTTGAGACGATCCACACATATGTTCCACAAAGAATGTGTCCAGAAGAAGGAACCAGGCTTGATGATGTTTATGAAAATTTGTGTGTAGAGATATAGGTTTTTCATCGAATAGCTTCTTGAGTTTGCTTCAATTTGGAATACGTTTTAATTTCTTTTTTTTTCTGAATGAAGTGTTTGAAGAGCAGCTTGAAAATTATAATGAAGTTTCCTCTGCTTTTTTATTTTTTTTGCCAGCCTTCGCATAGCTAGCTAATCCAGTTTATGGCAATTGCGGACGAAAGCGCAATTCCATGGCTATTTCGAAAATAAAAGATGTGAAACATTTGTGCTCAGTGTGGTTTTTTTTCGGACATGTTTTGGTTTTTTTACCAGCTAACTTTGCGGAACTATCTTTGAAAATATAGCAATGCCTTGAGCTCAGACTAGGTAGAAATACATAACTTGCCCTAGATCAATGGATCAAATGCTATTGATTAAACTCTTCTAAACTATGAAAATCAATGTTTATTTCAAAGTTGGATCAAGATTACCAAGAATTGCAGTATTTGAATAGATGACATTCCAATCCTATGAGAAATTTTACAAATGAGTCCAAAAGCATTTTTGTGAATTATCATTTATTCGCAGGACCAAAATAGTAGCGTTTGTATCACTCGAGTTCCGAAATATATGATAAAAATTATCTTTATTTTCTCGTTTTTAGTTGCTTGTGTCATACTAATTACAGTTTTAATTTTTCTGTAGTCAGTGAACGACATTACTTTGCCAATTTTGCCAATTTTAAACCTTTTTTTGCCAATTTTAAACCTTTTTGTATATTTGCACTCAGAAAAACCCATGGTTTTCTTGTCCTTGAGAAAAAACTTTTTGCATTTGGTGACCATTCAGATATTTCGGAACTGCGACAGATCCCGGAGAAAATGTTTTATTACACTTGTCAGGAGTTTCGTCCAAATTCTTTTCAAACATTTTCTTCTTTCCTCTTATTCGCAAATACTCAATGGCGTCGAAGGCAAAATCGACAACTTCCAAAACTGTCAAAACACTCACTCCCAAATAGAGTCCCAGCAGGCCGCCAAAATTTGAGATAATCAGGACGAAGTTGTAAACTGGCCGCTCAACAATAATTGCTTCTGAGAGATCACGAAAGTACACTGTCACACTTCCAAAATTTGACCTCAGTTGAGTCAATGCTTGCTGAGTATTTTCTTTTTTGTCTTCTGTGTATCTATTGATAGCTGACACGAGATAGTTAATAGCTGGTCTGCTCAGATCTTGGTACAAATTGGCTACAAATCGAGCAATAGAGCGATTTGTTGGCCATTCAAGCTGAGTGATCTTGACATCATAAGACTCGACATGGCATTCGTTTGGACATTCGCATTCTTTGTTGGGGTTTGAGTTCTCGTTTATGAAATCAACGCAAGCCCGTTGCTCTTTTTGGTCGAGAGAGCAAAGAGGAGCTTGATGGACCATGAGGTTATCGGCGCAGCCACATTGCTCTACCTTCATCCTGAAATTTATTAGGAACTAGTGAAAGGTTTAGAAGTGTGTAGATATTTTTTTCCACAGCCTGAAAAACTTCACTAAAATCTAGATAACGGATATATGAAAAAGTAATTGATATGACAAAATAATCTAGATTAGAGGAAGGTATCCAAGCAATGATTTACTCACAAGTCCATGCATTCCTTCAAACACTCATGACGGGAGTTGAATCGTTCCCAGTTGCCCTCGCCATAATACTCGCATAAACTGAATGGTTTCGCTAGTTTCTGAATATAACTGGGTTGCACGGACACCAGATGTTCAAACCCCGGCGGGAGACTTAGCTCACTTGTTTGGTCCACGAAAACATTTCCATTCCTATCAGTTTTTCCTGGAGGAGTTAGGAACAATTTTAGACCGGAAGTAGGTGTAAACAGACCCAAAGTATCGTACACTTCAAGGTTGAACCAGATGCTCAGACCATAGTCTTTTCCGCTCGTAGAAATAGGATCTTGTTGTGTAAATGAGAAACAGTTGCCATACTCCTGTGACACTGTGATGTTAACTACGACACTCTCGTTGCATACTTTGTTATTGGCCCTACATTTGATGACCATTTCCTAAAAAATATCAAATAAAGCGTGGCCATTTGGTATAGAGTTTAACTCATGAATTGAAACAGTACATTAAATGAGTACCCGGGTTGACATAAAATGCTTGTCATACAATTCCATAGTATGGAAAAATTGCTTATCATACAATTCCATACTATTCCATAGATTGAAAAAAATGTGAGAAATTAGCATCAGAAGCGATTTTTCAGATTATGGATTTGTACGATAGACATCAGTATATTCAATGGAATTGTGTGACAAGCCATTTTCTCCACAACGTTTTTTTTCGCTTAACATTTGCGTGTTGCCCGGAAACACAAACATCAAAATTTTTCTGAAATGAGAAAGCCAACAGGCTAAACTACGTATTGATAGCTGGCAAGTAGTTTAACAACAAAAGTTGGCACAAAATTGCAGCAAAATTGCAATTTTTTTGTATATGACTTTGAGGCCTCTATCGATCAACTCAGATCTTGATAATCGTGGCCTGTTTTTTCGACAGATTTAAGGTTATATGTTACCATCTAAAACTGAAGAATACAAAAGTCTGCCATCACAGAGATTGTCCATAGTAATCCATGATGAACTTTTTTTGAAGAAAAAATTGTGCGTGGAAAACGATAATGGCAAAAATTTGACAGCTTTGCATTCAATAAAAAAATCTGAAACGTTTTTTTTTGTTCTTAGAGCTGGTTAAAATGAGATGTAAGTTATGTTCGTCAGTTATTTATGGGAAAATGCTAATAATACTGCTTTTATAAATCAAAAAAATTTGATTTAATTTCAAAGCCTCATGAAAGTTTTTGTGACAAAACAATGAAAAATTGTATATCAAACACTTTCCATACATGGGAATCGTATGATTAGCATTTTTCCATAAAGAGCATGCATAGAACTTTTTTTGATTGGAATTGTATGAAAAAAAATATTTGTATGGAGGTTATCTTGAGTTTGCGTGATTTTTTGATGAAAGGATAAAAACAAATGTGTTGACAATAGTTGGTTTGTTCATCTTGCATGTTAATTACTTCATGACCATTTGAAAACAGTTTTTAAAAACTGAAATTCAAAGTTGTAGGGAAAATGGAAAACAGCCAACTATTTCCATGCCTCGACAATCCGAAAAGAAAAAATCTTCTGCGTTGATTTTTTAAAAATATATAACTGCTCGAGTTTTGCCAATGATATTTTGGAATGATTAATGCATGCTCAGTACAATGCGCACATCTTCAGTGCATAAAATATGCTCAGATATCTCCAGTTTCAACAAAAGCTATACAAAATTAGTTCATATCCTGCGATACTAAAATCAACTTATATCGAATAAAAACACTTGGGGCTGCTTTTTCTGGTAAAATAATTTTGTTTTTTAAGCACTTTTGATAATTAAAAAGCAATTTTAGACACTTTTTTATGTATCGCTCAAAATTGTGCAGTTTTTGTTAAATGCCGCTATACAAATTTGCATGGATTTATCTTGGTGAACATTTTTTTCCCACTTAAGGTCAAATTTCGCTTCATAGAGAGTTCCAATTTAAATTCAGGAAAAAAATTCAATGCAATCTTTGACATTTTCAATTAAATTCAAACGTTTCTTGAGATATAACAAGAAAACAAACAAAATGCAATTTTCTACACAACTATAAACAAAATCATATTTTACTTACTGTCGTCAGGCAGTTTTTTTATCAGAAAAAAAACTTAAAATTAAACAAAATGAAGTACAAAAATTTATTTAAATTATGAAAATTTAAAAATATTTAAATCACAGGTTTCTTCGAATTTTTTTGAAAGTTCATAACTGCCTGCTGGTAGAAATTTCTATTTTGCAAGTCATTTAATCGACATTCCCTAAGAATGAGAAAACTCTAGTCTAACTCTGGCAATCATGCGTAACTAACTTCTGGACTTCCATTGTGGACAATTTTGCTTCGGTCGCAAAATTTTGTTTTGATCTTGCAGGTTGAAAATCTATTGTGGTATTGAAAATCTGTTGTTGCAGTTGTTATTTTTATCATTCAGCTTTGTTTTGATTCGTTAATTGCGGTGGTTTTTTGGAAATTAATATTAACTAAAATACTTCATTTCCGAAACTGGAGTAAACATTTATTAGGGTCATTATGTATCATCGGGTGTGTCTAAGAGTTTTTAAGTTCTTTTTACCACGAATATTCAAGTGCGACAAATGACACAAAAACACAAAAAAAAACGAAAAAATTTGACAATGTTTGATTCAAACTAGGTTATATAAACTTTCATATGTCTGGTTAGAAGTTTACTCCAGGCAAATATGTCAAACACTTGGATTTTAAATCAGCATCCAGGGAACCCATCTTACAAAAGAAACAAAGCCGACAATCTTTGAGCAGACACAAGTTGGACCAAAAAATATGATGTCATTAAAAAAGTTTTAAGTCCTCCTTAAACAACAAGTGTAAAGACTTGCACGTGCAATTAAAATAGATTTCTTTACAGCTCAAGAAAATCAGTAATGTCGCAACTAAGCCAACAATCTTTGAGCTTAATCAATTGAGCCGAAAACAAAACGTTTTTTTTTTTTAAATCTTTCTTGTGTCCCCCGCACCTGAATTTAGAATGAACAAGACATGCACTTGCAACTACAATGAAAACTATCTACAGCAAAAGCAAAATCCGTTCTGTTAAATTTGAGTTTTCAAGAAATTGAACATGTCAATCAGCAGCATAGTTACCAAATGATTCAACTGATGAATTTGTTAAACTAGTCATTAACTAGAAAAGTCTATATTCCAGTTTGATAGCGCTTGCTAATTGCAAGCGTAAAAAGTTAAAACCTTCAAAGAAAACCTAAATTTCGAAATATTGATTCACTGTTCAACCCAAAAACTTCACAAATTTTGCTTTAGTTAGGACGGATGAATATTATTTTTTCTGTTTGCGTCGTTCATGATTAATTTTTGTTCAGTAGCACCGTTTTTTTCTGAATTTTCTGCAGTCGCACCGGCTGCATGAAACTTTTCTGGTGTCGCGGGGGAAGAATGAAAAAAATGCATTTCGGTCGCGGCGATCTGACAACATCCAATTTTGTCGCAATAATCTGGACACAAAACCACAACATCGCCCCGGGATAGAAGCATCTAAAGTAATTAATTCAGAGTGAAAAGTATGTCCTTTACCAAAGAGAGGACTCATTGCACTCACTTCATATTTGTGTCCCAGTGAAGAAACCTCTTCTTTTGATGCCATGCTGTACCAGCGCATCTCCACTGGTTTGCCCAGAAGATTCTGGTACTCCCTGAACTCGTCAGTATCCTTGGGCGAAGTCCAGTTGACCAAGTTGTTCTTCCAAACACACGTCTCATCCACTGCCTTAAACATAGTC